TCGCATGTGCAGCGTACACTTCTTATCAGGTTAGGGAAAAAGTATCTACTGTTGTAGGGATGAATAACATTATGTGTATTAAGGGTTATCATGTCCACTTGGGGAGGTACTTAAAGGAATATTGGACTTTAACTTTTTAGCGCATTAGCTAACATTAGCTTTAATAGCAAAATAAACTAGCGGAAACTGTTCAAATGTCATCCTCCTTTGTAAGATTGGCATAGTAATCAGCCACAAAGCCATCCCACCTTTGGCAATCATGCCGAATCATCTATCCACTGAGTGAGAGCATACGGGTCGGCCAGTCTGGTCCTGATGGTCAGTTTTTACTTATTCAAGTAAGACTTGCAGTCCCAGAGAGTGAGTGACCTGACATGGTGCGTTCTTAAATTCAGTCTGACGCTCTTCATTAAAATGAGAGCCCTGTTGGTCGTAAAAACAGAGCATTCTATTTCTACATGAATTAACCAACGGTTAAGTTAATCACACATTCACTCCACTCAGAGCTCCATTTGCTGGTCCGTCCCAGACAGAGTGCCAAGAGAGCTCTATGCCACTCCAGAGACTGCAGTGCTGTGGGTAACTGAACAGTACATTCAGACAGCATTTCCAATTTACAAATGGTCAAGTTTTTGGCAATGTGCACTCCGGCACTCGGACTGGGTATTTCTGAATGGACCACTTGTATAATGTTCCTCCATGTTCTAAAACAAGCCAACAGAACTTGCTAGCTAGCGCTGGCTAATGTCTGTGGAGAACTGTTTTGCCTCCAGCTAAGCCCTGCCCACCAAAAAATGTCATACTGTTTACTAACAGTTAAACGGTCTATATCAGTGTTTACTTGTGACTACTTGTTTGGACGTGACATAATAGTTGGGAACTACTTGTCCCTGATGGTCCATATGACGCACGTTGGATTATTTTAAGGTTGGCCAGTTCAGACGTCTTTGGGCGCCAGATATTACGTCACACAGACTGTGGCAGAGATAAGAATAGGTCTTTGTAAGAAGACAATTAAGAAAGACTTCATAGAGCCGACTGTCATGTCGGCTCTATGACATGTCACAATGGGAGTCGAGCACATAAGAGTCTTCAGCTGTTGCAGTGAAAGTATGGCTATAAGACAAGCCTGGCCCTGTTTAGGATGTCAAAGCCCTCTGAGACGGCTCAACCTGCTCTGGGTTGATCAGAAGTCCCCCTGAGAGGACGTGCACACTCAAGTGACAAGCTTGAGCTAATCACGATGATGAGGGAAGAGAGGGCCTCAGCTTAATGGGAGCGCACAGAGATCAGGGCAATGCCTCAGGGAAGTCGACTCACTTTGAAATACATTCAAAAGTGCACTGTAACATACAAGATACTATGATGAAATACTACAGTGAGAGAAACTACATCTCTGCACCAAATACTGTTTCAACTGCTTTCCCTTTTTGCCCTGCAGGATTGACGTTACGGCATTGTACATCTCTGCAAACCCTGTGCCTCCTATTTAATTGTGTCTGTCTAATGGATAGGTTATCAATGTTTGTATATCTGTCAGTGGGAGCATGCTCAAGTGTCAGGTGAGCCTGTCATTCTAGACTTCATTTCAAGGTATCTCTTACATATACATTTAACCTTTCCATAGGTGAAGAGCACAATGCACTGTAACATGTAAAATATGTATGTACATTAATGTGGACATAAGGCCCAATGTTCCAGTGCCTCCCAATCAGGTAACTCTGGCAATTCTTTGCATCACTAACTGGAACATTATAACTGTAACAGCAAGGTACAAGCAGCCGTTTACCTTGATGACATATTGGAGGTTTAATTTCACCCCAACTGCAATAAGTGCTTATTGCCTGCACCCCACCAATTCTCTGTGGCTGCTCTTTGTATAGGATCTTAATAATTCAGTGTTTGATTGAGGTAATTACTTTGCATCCCTAGTCATCATCTGAATATTAAGGAAGATTATATACTTTCATATGAAGCAAATTTGTCTACCGGTGACCCAAATTGGAGATATTGTCTAGCAGTGGAATAAGTGTTTTGAGAAACTCCTGAACTCGACCAGCACATCCACTGTGGAGGAGGCAGAGTTTGAGGACTCAGGGGAGCTGCAACCAGAGGTCTCTGAGGTAGTCAAAAAGCTCCTCAGCAGCAAGACGCCAAGTGTGAATGACATCCGCCTGAGATGCTGAAGGCTCTGGACAAACTGTGTGGCTGTCATGGCTGACGTGAAGTGTCGCACGGGGGTTGGGGAGGGTGGAGGGTGTGCTCCAGTTTTTAGGGAATCATCATTCTGCTCAGGCTCCCCAGGAATTTTGGGTACTAGGAAGGAGGCTCTGACTTACTGTCGAACCTCCAGGAAAAGCAATGTGAATTCTATCTTGGCTGTGGAAGAGTGGACAAGATCTTCACCCCTGCAGGGCTGCTGGTGGGGTCATTGAAGTTTGTGCTTTGTGCTGTGTGGACTTGGAGAAGGCTTACAACCTTGTCTCCTGGGGAATCCTGTCAGGGGTACCTGGGCTGTTGCTACAAGCCATCTGGTTCTTGTGTAACCAAAGTCAGAGCTGGGTCCCTATACTCAGCAAAAGGTCAAACACTGGTACTGTTGGTGATATTTGTGGACAGGATCTAAATGCGCAACCTGGGGAGAGGAGAGTGTCCACTGGGGTGGTTTCCAGCTGAGTGTGAAGCAGCTCGGATGACAATCAGTACCTCAAAGTCTGAGGTCAGGGGTCTCTGCTGGAAAAAAGTGGATTGTACCCCCTTGGGTTGGTAGTGAGTTACTGTCCCAAGCAAAGGAATTCAAGTATCACAAGGTCTTGTTCATGAGTTAGGGGAAAATGGTGCGCAAGACGGACAGGCAGATGGTGTATTGTGTCAGTCCGTTGTGGTGAAGAAGGAGCTGAGCCGGAGGGCAAAGCTCTTGATTTACTAGTCCATCTACGACCCTTACCTATGATCATGAGCTTTGCATAGTGACCGAAAGAATGAGATCACAGATACAACCAGCTGAAATGAGTTTCCTTAATAGGATGGCTGGGCTGAGCCTTAGAGAGGGTGACAAGTTCACACAACCAGAGGGAGTTCGGAGTAGAGCCGCTTCTCCTTTGCGTCAGAAGGGGTCAGTTGAGGTGGTTCAAGCATTTGATCAGGATTCCTCTTGGGAACCTCCCATTCGAGGTTCTCCTGGCATGTCCAATTGATAGACACTCTGGGGTAGACCCAGAACATGCTGAAGTGATTAGATATCTCATCTGGCCTCAGAACATCTCAGGATAAGCCAGGAGGAATTGGTAAATATTGCTGGGGAGATGGACATTCAGATGGCCTTGCTTAACCTGCTGCCCATGTGACCCAGCCACGGATAAGTGAAAGATAGTGAATGGATGGATGGAAATTCGTCTCTCAATTTCCTTTTTTTGCTAAAAATATACCAGAGGCAGAGAGGAAAACAAAGAGGGAGAGACAGAAGGACATAAAAGGAGAGACAGAGATGTGGAGGACAAAGTAAAGGTTTTATCCTGAGGTATAAATGGGTGGCTAGATTCATGCCAAGAATAATTTCCCACTGCTGCTAAAATAAGATTGCATTTTAGATTTACTTATTTTGAGAATCTCTATCCGTGTTTAAGACACTCAGTTCCCTTGGGGACAGGATTTCAAAGTTCACAGATACTGTAGTAAAGCTAGCCATTACTTAAGGATAATATCCTGCACAACAGCCATCAGAGGAGCAAATATGATGAAAAGTATGATATGCTAATATGCTATGGTCCCTTTACAATTAACAATCCATAACCGCAGGCACAACGATAAATATTTGAGCCTTTATTTTGGTAAATCAGTGGTGCATGAACTGTAAAATCAAAGGCACACAGAGCTGGTGTGTGGACCATGGCAAAATGTATTTGGTTATTTCATTGCCAGAGGCACATGCAACAACTTCTACATAATTGGAAACAATAAATTGCCTATTTTGCTTTGATTTAAAATCACTGCACTCTGAGTCTTGTTCCTCTTGAAATGAGGGAAACTATGTACTACAGAAGTTTCTGCGAACTGAAGTCAGGAGGAACAGAATTGCCGCCAGCAAACATACAGTATAAAGCAGCACCTTAAATTAAATTAGCCCGGGAGAGCTAGAACGTTTAACTGTTGAGACAAACCAACCAAAAAAAGCAGAAAGTGTCAGCAAACAAAAGCATTAAGCTAGCTTTTGTGTATTTAATGGTACAGTACATGTTAGAATTGCTGTGTTGTTGCATAAAGAGTTGATTATTACGACTGTATACATGAACCCATTCCCATATCATACCACCAATCAAGGTGCATTAGGCTGAGAAAATGTCTTCAGCTGCCCCTGTGAGCTGCTGTTTATTTTTACCTTTTAATGCAGCATCTCGCCAGCATGGTCTGACCATGGCTCTCACTGCCAAAGCTAATGAGTCAATAGCTCTACCAGACAGACACTCACAAGACTTCAAAACGTTAAAAAAAATCCCAAACTATCCCTTTAAAGGGTACAGTTTGGGTCTGGATGGTGTGAAAATAGCTGCAGTGGTTATCGGAGAGATGCCAGGCCTGCAATCTGTCTCTGGGTGACTGCCAGCCAGGGATACGCATAAACTGACAATACACACACTCACTTACTCACACACAGAACAACTCCCCAACACATACAGTATCTGCCTGTCTCTGTTACCATGGAAACTGACAGGCCTCCCATTGAAAAATCCTCAGATGCAGGTGTGTGTGTGTGTGTGTGTGTGTGTGTGTGTGTACTGTATGTGTGTGCATCACGGCTTGTGGGGGAGTGAATATGTGCATTTGCATATCAGAGATTGCAGTGTGTGGAGATGAGTGAGGACGCATGTGCACCTATCATTCAGATACAGCATGTAGGCCAATGTAAATGCATGCAGTGTTCATTTTTAGCTATATTTCAAGATCAGTATACCTGCTGCAGCATGTATGAAATTTAAACATGTTATGAAATTGATACTTACTCTGAGGAGTCTATAAAGTATATCCCAAGGGCCCCGATGCTGAGCGCAAAGACCAACACCACCTGAGAAGAGAAAGTCACAGACGAAAGCAAAATTACTTTCATGCATGGAGCGGCAACAGCCTCCCAACTCTGCTCATTAATGTGCTCTATAGTAAACAAAGTATTCAGTTGGGGTGGACACAAAAGGCGACACAGTTACAGTATCTATAATTAAGCCGTGCCTTGCCTCCTGTGGGTTGCAGAACATTTTAAAAAACATGCGCTGAATAATAAATGCTCACCCTCATGTCAGCAAATACAGCTTATTAAATACAGGTAGAGTCAAGCCAGCACAATCACAGGAAGCAAAGAAAGGACACACATTTGTAAGCACAACTGTACATCAGAGCGGTAACAATGAGTTGGGGGTGTTGAGAGGAAGTGCTTAGAGAGGACCACAGTTATCAAGTGTTGACATGCACTCCTCAACTACAATGCTGAGTCAATGCTTGCATTGTGTGAGATTGTGACCCTGCTGGACTGGTCTGTATAATGTTTCAGTGACAATATATGTCCGGTAAGGTAAGGTAAGGTAAGGTAAGGTAAGGTAAGGTAAGGCAACTTGTTTGTGAATCAATTCAAATAAATTTAAAGCAGACCTTGCGATCAATGCCACTTGATTTCAGACTTGCACAAGAAATGCACACCTTTTCTTTTACCGAATTAAATATCTTAGATGGTAACACCTGACTAAATGACACAAAAAGTGAATGTGTTTCTTAAATATATATCTTACAGCATCACAGTTAAATTTTAGGAATATATAAAAGATATATAAAAAAAATATATAAAATATACAAAAGAACTGGAGGCATTTTATGAGCATTTTTTGAGTTCTTATAAAAGTTGGTTTTTGAGGTGTGCATAGGCAAGTATTAGTATTCATAATGCATTATAAGCCCCATCAGTCACCCTCTATTTTATAACCAGTCAGGAGCATCCATAAGTCACTTGTAAGTCACATCTATAATGTTTTATGACTGTTAATAGTGCATCAGTAAGCATTATGTGTATTTATGAGTATAGTCATAAAGCATTATGAATGCATTATAATTCACTATGAATGCCCTCATAACACATTATAGATGCAGTCTTCATAGAAAGTGTTATCAAAATGGATTTTTTGCTAGAGGATAAAATTATTAGAGAAAAAAATATATTCAAATTTGTTCTTGTTGATGCAGAAAAGTGAAAACCTGTTTGGATATTAGTCATCGAGAGTAAATGTCAGCTTTCTCTTGTTCCACACCCTAGGAAAAAAAAAATGGCAACCATGCACCGCAATCATCCCCTCCAGCGAACTGCACTTGCAAACATTTGAATTCACATCACCATCATCATCACCGCCGTTATCATAATCATCACCTTCGCAACAGCTGACCAACGTAGCCGTGCACAATAGTTTCTCCCCTGCGATCTTTTCTCCTATTCAGCCGTCTCACAATAGGAGCCCACTGTCCCTGCTGATTGTGCTTTTCATTATTGATGATGGGAGCTTGATTACTTTCATGTGATGGTCCTTTGGATTGATCCTATGCATTGTGACTGAGGTATGAAGTAAACACCCCCCATTCCCTTGCATTTTTAATGGTTTGCTGCTTGAATGGAGGACGATGGCAATCCTGGCCCAAGAGTTGTCCAGGGTCGGAATTACCTTGCGAGCCAAAGACATCAATGATGCTCCAAACAAAGGAGATGGGGGGAAGGTTCAAGCTGAAACTCTACGATAACATCAGGCTTTTTGAATGAAAAGCACTTCACAGGTCTGATTAGGAAGGGAATCATTTGACTGGAAGGCATTATCTGATCCAAACACTCCCCTGTTGTCTATACAGGAATTAAAATGTCTTTTTCCCACAAGGTGGCACAGTATGCTTATAGTGAGTTAGTATTTTACAGGTGCAAAGTGATCGCCAAAGGCTAACTGGCTAAAGACTTCAAAAAATCTGGGGGTGTGGAGTTAGAAAGAAGTGAAGTTACCAGACATCTGTAGCCCTCTCCTCACCTCTGCTTAACTCTAGCAGCTGGAGGCTACATTAGGTTGAAGATATACTGTGCATTCCAGTACCCATACTAACATACTATATACTGTAGTATGCCAGAAAAAGGTTTAGTATGTCCCAACACACATTGGTATGTCTAATGCAGTATGCCAAAAATACCAGGATGTTCTACTACATCTGGTCCGATTCTGCAGTATGCAAGCCAACCTGCTTTTCTGGCTATTCTGACCCACAATCCTCTGCACAGCGGAGATCCGTCACATCAACTGAACCACAAACAGATGACAGCTTGACAACTATTGACAGATGTTTGACAGTTGTCAGAAATTGTGATGATGGCTGACAGCGCATTCAAGTAACTGATGACTAATCTAACAGGGATAATAGGAATGTTAATGGTGGACAAAATTATAAATATCACAAACAAGAAAAGGACATAACTATAAAAATAACAACGACAGAGAACTGCAGATTTTCACTGTTGAAAATATAATCTGTGAGAATCTACAAACTGTGCAGTTATAACTTTTAAGTTAAACTACACACATAGCAAAGTAACAACAGCAGAGCTCTGCTGGTTGATCTCCATCTCTAGCAGACTCTGTAAGTGGTGTTTGTTTTATCTCCAAGGAAACAGAAATAAAAGCAAGAGGGTCAAAGTTCAGAGCATAATGTTATGAGAAAGTAGTATGTCCCAATTGTGTGCTTACTGCATGCAACAGTACGTACTTTTTAAGGGCAGCTGCAGTACCTACTAAAAGTAAAACAAAAAGTATGCGATTCAGAACGCACCCATACTTGCTTTTTAACCCCATGTTCACATTGATAATAGGCTGCATTGTGAATTTATTGTTCACATACTTGCCTATGTACCACACGTGTTACTGGAGGGTCCCACTAAAGTGCACACTAGAGCAGGGGTCCGGCCACGGGGGTCCACATTTGTCATTAGTTCAAGGTCCCACAGGTCAATACATTTAGTGTCATATTTGCATATGGCCATGTCATTGAACTAGTTTGCTGTCTCTGTCAAGACGCTGTCCGTTACTCACGCTACAGTAGGAAACGGCACTTGCGGTACATTCAGAATGGGCCTGCCACCCACTTTTAGACGATGACCCACCGGTTGGGAACCACTACACTAGAGAACTAAGACCGTTTAGAACTTCTGGATTTGCACAATTTAAACAATAAACACAGCAACACTCGAAGAGATTGCTGCATTGTTATTCTCAGATCAGAAAAAAAGGAAAAGGCCATGGCAGCACTTTTACAGATGGTATAAGGCCCCTAAATCAAGCATGTTATGGCAATAGCAAGTATGTATGTTACACTGCCCCTACAACTAATGTGTGCATTGCATCTTGCATACACGTATAGGTCAGCCCCATGCATTTGGAAGCAAGTATAACTCAGGTCTTAGAAAAAAGTGGCATAGCACATGCAAATGTTCTAACAAACTGTTCGTGGATGATGTTGCATTATGAGTGATGTAGACACCAGGTTCTTTTAAAGGTAGAAAACACATGGAATAAGAAAAGACAGTATCTCTGGTACTGTTGCTAACAATCCGACAGTGTTATAGGAGTGCAATGCTAAAGCACTGGAGTCCTTTTTTAATGCTGAGTAGAAATAATTTTCAACACAACCACATTCTACAAGATGAGTGGACATCATCAAATCTAAGAAAGCCTGTCAACAGATGAACAATGTCTTTTTCTATGAGACATGACTCTATCGGCCCCCCTAACATAGAGACAAGTTTCTAGCATTGCACTTCAATGCATGTAGAGTACATAAAGATGCATATACACTGACACTCCCTTGGAGCTAGTTTGTGCTTCCACTGATTGCAGAAGTGGCAGGGTCATAGGGGCTGAGAAAGAAAAGGGAGGAAGACGGGGCAGAGAGAAGTATGGCTGAGCAGTGGTTGGTTGCTGAAAAGCTGAGCAGCGAACGGTGAACACCCAGTGATGAACTGAGGAGATAAGAAGCGTCATCATCTTAAACTGACCCAGTTATTCAGCTGTGAAAGCTGCCCCACCCCCCCACCCTTTCCAACTCTCTCACACACTCGCTCCACACAATGTCTACGAGGGCTAGCTGTCGACCTCAAACCCACAATCTACTAAAGACAACCAACCGAGCAACCGCCACTGCAAATCAGAAGCAATGTAACAACACTCTTGTAGGGAAACCTACAAGAATGAAAATGGCAGAGGGGCATTCCCTCTGCCTACAGAATAAAGTTAGAAATTAAAAAAGAAACATAGCATAGCTGTTGCTGCATCTGTAGCTGCAAAGGACTTGATGAGGCTGTTGATGTGCAGATTTCATGATTCACATATAATAGGACTGCATGAGTGAGCCACATTTGATAGGAACATCCGGCCAGCATCATGTCAGAGGGACAGCATTTGGATGTGATGTCTCTGTTTTCTCGTTAATAGCCGTGTAGGTTTTCATTGGTGTATCCTGTTCTATATTTAAAGTGCAAAGCTAAATCTGTCAGATGTTTTCCGAGGTGCACTTTAGCAGCAAGTGTAAAAGAGGGCAGCGAGAAATCAAGTGTGTGAATGTGTGTGGTTTCAAGTTCCAGTACTGCGAGTGGGCTAAAGGTGGCAGCTCACACATGACACTGTTAACACATAATAACACTAACTAACATGTATAAACACATGTGCAAGTCTGACGCTCTCAGTTTATTTGCCAGTCTGAAGAATTTCGAGAGCTCATCATGGATGCCGCGTGAAAGTAACACGAAGGGCCCTAAAACTGAGCCACAATTTCACACAAGACTTCCTCCTCCAACAGGGATCCTGTCTAATGACTTCCTCTGTCTCTTAAACGCACCCTGTGACAGGGAGGGAGCAGAGTCTCACAGACAGGTGACGTGAGCTGACAACGTACAGAATAATCGCTTCACATTAAGGCCAACTACCCAGGTCAAGAAAGCGATGACTCAAAGCATTTCAGTTCAAAGCAATCAAGATGGAGGACAGGACTCTCTGTTGGGTC